TGGCACTTCAAGGGGGCGTATCTGGGGGGTATATGAATTTGGGGAAAATTTTTTGATGCCAAACGTGTTATTTTGGACCCTTCTACCACATCCAATAGGAATTTTGAAAAAAAATTCTGATACGCTGAGCATGTTTACTGGTAAGCATAAAAATAATGAAACTTACAGTTTATTGTATTTCTTTTTAGCTGCATCTGATCCAAGCTCCCAATCATTTCCAATATCTAGTCCCATTTGTACATGTTTTGATAAAAACCTGTCATCCGGACAACCTGCAAAAATGTGGCCTACGAATACAACAACCAAAATTATAGTAGTGATTTTGAATGTCATTTTGGATTGAATGAAACACCTAACTAAGGAAACCAAGTAACAAATAGATCATCTACAATGCACGTCCGCTTAATTTATACCGAAAATTATGTGACACATATGTGTATTTCAAATCATAATTTTTTCCATGATTTGTTGATTTTACAAATCATTTTATCTCAAATCTGAGAACCCTGATTTAAAGAGTATTTCTATCAACTATATGCTATCGCATAGTTGATATTTTAATATAAAGGTCAACCGGACATAACGGATGGACAAACATTTAAGCTGAAAAAAATCTCAATTGAAATGATAAATGTAAATTTGTATAAACGACATAATAATTATTTTTTGTTTCTAACCAAATATAGCTTGATGTATTATAATCAAGTTTGGCATTTTTTTCGGTAAGTTTGTTTGTGATAGTGTGACACGCATATATCAAGCAAAGTATCAACTAAATCGAACTGGGAATTTCTTACATTGAGATAAGAGTGTAGATGCTAACAGCGTAACTCAATTCAAACAATATTCTATTTCACCGAATTTTGATTAAAACAATTTCGAAATTTCGTTGAAACTTTTTATATTTGAATTTGTTTTCCAATTTTGAAAGCACCATTTGATTTTCAATTCTTTATGCGAGTTTAAATAAACGATTTAAAGTGTGTGTTGAATCCTTTATGCATTTTGATTTATATATGAATGGGGTAGAATAAAAACTACTTCTCGAAAAATGTTTAAACACGAAACCTAAAAAAAACTTTCAATGAAAAGTGAACCAATTTTTTTTTGTCCAATTGAAGTGAACCAAAAAAAATTTGTTCAATAAAAGTGGACCTAAAAAAAAATTCATTTTAGTGTATTTTACACTGAAAAAACCGAGTGAAATTTTTTTTTGGTTCACTTTTATTGAACAAAATTTTTTTGATTCACTTCAATTGGACAAAAAAAATTGATTCACTTTTTATTGAAATTTTTTTTAGGTTTCGTTTTAAAATACCAATTTTTCGAGAAGTAGTTTTTATTCTACCCCATTCATATGTAAAAAAGATTTTATTCATTGTAGGAAATGCATTTTTTAAATGCGACATTTCATAATCGTGTTTAATGCTAATAACGATATAATTTATCAAATGCAATCGAAAATTGCTTGTGTTTGGTCCGAATCCATTTTTGTCTCCAAAATTTACGTAAGTCACTGTTAATATTTAAATTCGATTGGTACAGACAGCTGAAATATGTAAAAAGATATGAAAAATGTGGAATTGTACACAATTTATATTATCGATGTTGGTGTTTTATTTTATATTGTAATATGAATTATTTAACGGCAAGCAAATCAGTTGAACAAGTTTTTGTAAGACGCACAGTATACGACCTCGATACGTAGCTCGATACTCGTGATGCATGTAAAACAGCAGTCATAGAATGAATGAACATATCATCAGCTTCACTAAACGTTGCCGTTTGTACGTTTTTTTTGTTTGAAATTCTTTGTGGATTTGATTTTATTTTAGATCAATTTATTAAAAGAAAATGTGCATTCTTTGTCGAGAATCATACATACACAGATACAATGGGAAGAAAAAATGGAGCTTATCATGAATGCGTCATGAAATGGTGAGCCCCATTTGATAGGTAATACCCATTGCAAGTAGTATTTGTTTTAACTAATGCACTCGTGTTGATTGCGTTGAAAGCATGTTTGATCGTAATCTCATTTAACACATTTGATGAAACCTAAAATGCATGATGCAATCAAATTATGGTGGTCTTGAAAATTGATTTTTTTCTTCTTTTCTATCAAAAATTACACTCAATCATCCACTCATATGAAACAACCTGTATAGTATACAGGATAAGTCCGTTGCCATGAAAAATGGAAATAAAATTCCTCATTCATGAAATAAAAATCCTCGGTTGAGGCTAAGAACGAGTGACGAAACCAAAATTATAAACACAACATTTCTTATATCAATTTTGTGACCAAAATAGTTGGTAGATAATAAATAAATACTTAATATACACTCACACATTCGAAACGTTGCGGAAATTCCACCCTTTTTACTATCAGTCCACACTGAGGCAATAACGCAACGTGTATCGCATCTCGCACGAACGAAAACCATGTAATGCATTTGATATGTATGCCGTGTATGTATCCGCATATAAACTGATTAAAGTTTAAAAAAAGATTTGAACGAACGTTATATGTCATCCAAAGAAAAACAATCATTCAAATGCAATTTTTAGGAAAAACCATGATACTGCAGTCTGATCAGCATTGAACTTGGTATAAAAGTGGGTTGCTGATGTGAATCTTTAGTCAGTCTAATCGGTAGCGAAGAAGAACAAAATCCTTTAATAAAAGAGATTAATATTAATCATATTTAAACCAATCGATACACTATATAAGTGCATAACAGTTTTTTCTCTTTTTTTGTACAATTTTGTTTAAAAATAAAAATACGTGAAAATGGGTAAGTAATACTTAAAGAAAAATTATTAAATTTTTCTAATTACTTAAGAAAAACACGGAAAAATTGCAAAGATTTATGGTGTGAATGATTATCACCTTTTCGTACACATCACTGTGTGTTGTAATCACCCCTAAATTTTGAAGTACTCAATTTTTTTTTACGCCTTTTAGATATAGAGAAACATGTTTTTGTTACTATCATCGTCTTTTTTTCATGGTCGACACGAAGAAGACCTAAAAAAATGCTAAAAAATGTATTTTGCTAAACACGTTGATTAAATTTTGGTTTAGATATCTAAAATTTTATATAGATTTTGAAAAAATTTACATTTTTTTGAATATCGTTCCATCTTTTCAAATAGGTTCGTGGTTTTACATTTTATTGGCATCAATCTTTATCTCAACCTTCAGCCAGTGTGTCGAAAGCCATTCCACTCCAGAATGTAATCAGTTAACATATGGATTAATCATGAGGCGCATCACCGAAGTGACGTACCACACACATGCAACTGTCAAGGACTCCTATACAAAAACGAAACAATATGTTGATGTTTACAAACAACAAACTGACCAAAAGCTTGGCGCAATGGACGGGAAATTAAACGATATTCTTATCAAATTGGTAGCAATTGAGACTCAGCTTGGAGCACTTACAACGGGGCCTGTTGCACTATCGCCAACAGATGTGTTAAAAACGGCTAGAGCTGCTGCTGCGCCGGCAAATATAGACTTAGACACGAGTGAGGAAGAAAATTAAAATATAATTTTTTAGTATCAATTGTTGTACACCAAACCGAGATTTTCCATCATCTCTACGGCGTGGAAGCATTAAATGATTTATAGTTTTAAATTAGTGACGAATATAGTTAAGCGAATGAACAAATAAACATGCATAAAAATCTAAGATCAATTATTTTTTTTAATTAAAAAAGCCAAATATTGAACGGATCAAATATTGCAAGCGCACATCCAGCTTGTAAAATAGAAATAGCCTTATTTGAATGTAATATAAAAATGGAAATAGTAAACGACCCGACTCTTGCCGAACAATACAGATTGCCTGAAACAATAATACACGATGTTTGGCTGAACTTCAACGACTTTTGTTAGGTCAATTTTTCAATAATGAGTATCAGCGAGTACGTAATCTCGATATGTGCGAATCATTATTTATGCATTATTACGAACCTATTTCATTTTTTTAAAATGTTCTATTAAAAGTCCTAGAAGTAGATTTTATTAGATCAAATGAATATCTCGCGCCTAGATGTAGATACTTTGTAAAGTGTGACTTTTCGATTGCAACTCTTTTTGCATTCCAAATAAAGCTGTAGTTGTAGTAAATCAATCGTCAGATTTGAAAAATGTCAATCGTAAGTTGCTGTTATTTTGGACACGTACGTCGCTTTCTTGGCATCGTATATTTTTTGTATTTAAATACGTTTGATATAATCCCGCCAAAATGTCCAATCGCTTATCAGCGAATATTCAAACGAAAATGAAAACATGAGAATGCTGTCAACATTTTGTTATCACTGCAAGTGCAACAGTATGCATATCATTTCTCAATCACTTCACTTTTCTTGGTCCCGCGTTCAAAGGGGTCAATTGTTGTCTATTGATGCAAAGGGAGAGAAAAATCCAAGATAATGATTTAATTTGATTTAGATTTAATCGATCAAGTTGGAAATTTGTATGATTCATTTGGATTTTTTGATTGATGTAATTTTATTTTGATAACTGCCCAATTAGTAATGCCAGTTACATATGATAACTGATAACTATTAAATTAAGGATATTAGTCATAAGTAATAAGCCTGAACAAATTACAAACGATGATCCCGAACCTATTTAAAATTTCATGAGTAATAAGTGGCAATTGTTATCACTTCAGCTATCAAACTCTTCATTCAAATTTTGCCTTTATTATTATTACTAACATTTTTATAATTCCAGTCGATTGTTTTTGTTTAAAATGTCTAAAATTGTGTCATTGACACGCGCTAAATATTCATTTTCATATATAGTTTATCATCGACACCATTTTTTTACTCTGAATTATGGTGTTTTTTTAAATGGCTACAGAAAATGGAAATTCAAGTTGAGCGTACAAAATTGTCCTCAACGAAAGATATCTTCTAAAGTTGCCGCCAGTAGAGTTCCCTTCGACTCATTTCCCTTCAATCTTCACCCAATATACATTTTCAAAGATTTGATTGATGTCGCGTGCGCTTACCTTTATATTCATTAAATGTTGAATGATTTTCAAGTCATAACATGTTTATTGAAATGCAGGCCACGCAGAGCATTTTCTTAAAAATGAACGGTAAATGCTACTTTTACCAATTACCTTACGAATTTTAGCATTTTGTCATATTTTCCAAAACATCATAAACGAATTCATAAACGAATTCAATTTACACATTTTAGAATTGAAAATATTCAGTAATTTCTTTATAAAAAATACATAGAGTTGCTTTCATCAGAATCATCAATAAAAGTGAAATCGAATTTGTCGATTTCACTTGTCAATATGAAGGTATTCGATGTTATTGAATCATAATAAACAGTTTGTACGTTATTTTATTGTTCGAAGTTCGTTATTGAAACAATTATATACGAAAAAATTGGGGCTTACTATGAACGAGACATGAAATACACAGGTGAGTCCTATTTGATGGGTAATACCCATCATGTCGTCCAACAAAATCCTTGATGACCATTGCAAGTTCTCATTTGTTTTAATTAATGCACTCGTGTTGATTGCTTGCATTGCAAGCAAGTTTGATCGTAATCTCATTTAACACATTTGATGAAGTTTAAAATGCATGATGCAATCAAATGCATAATTTGTTTGGTATTTGTACGTTGCGGAATTTCCATCTCTTTTACTATTAGCCCACACTGAAGCAAAAGAGCAATGTATACACATCTCTCACGAACGAAAACCGTGTAATCCATTTGGTATGTATGCGCATACAAACTGATTAAAGTTCAAACAAAGATTTGAACGAATGTCATCTTAATAAAAACAATCAATCAAATGCAATTCTTGGGAAAAACCAAGACATTGCAGTCTCATCAGCATTGAACTTGGTATAAAAGTAAGTCTGATGTGAATCTTTAGTCAGTCTAATCGGTAGCGAAGAGGAACAAAATCCTTTAATAAAAGAGTTTAATATTCACTAAAACCACTCGATAAACTATAAAAGTTACAGTTCTTTTCCTTTTTTGAATAAATTTGTTTAGAAATAAAAAGACGTGAAAATGCGTAAGTCATAAAAATTTCTCATTTTCAAAACGTGTATGAACTTTGAATAAATCATTTTTTGAGGACTTTTACAAAATGTTAAGTATCTCAATGCAAAACGTTAAAATACAAAGTCGATTAAATTTTTGTTTAGTTATCTAAAATGATGTGTAGATTTTGAAAAAAGCTAAGCACTTTTACTTTCACATTATTTTGTATGTCGTTTCATTTCTTCAAACAGGTTCGTGGTTTTACATTTTATTGGCATACGCCTTTATCTCAACCTTCAGCCAGTGTGTCGAAAGCCATCCCACTCCAGAATGTAATCAGTTAACATATGGATTAATCATGAAGCGCATCACGGAAGTGACTTACCACACACATGCAACTGTCAAGGACGCCTATACAAAAACGAAACAATATGTTGATGATTACAAACAACAAATTGACCAAAAGCTAGGCAGTATGGATGGGAAATTAGACGATATTCTTATCAAATTGGTAGCAATTCAGACTCAGCTTGCAGTACTTACTACTGGGCCAGTCGCACTATCGTCAACAGATGTGTTAAAAACGGCTAAAGTTGCTGCTTCGTCAGCAAATATAGACACGCCTGCAGAGAGTTAAAATATACTTTTTTAGTCTCAATTGTTGTACACCAAACCGAGACTTTTCATTATCTCTACAGTGTGGAAGCATTGAATGATTTAAAATATATAACATCGCGACCTGCGATGAAATAGCGATATCAATTTAATAAAGATGTCTTGTAGTGAGGCTAAACAACTGTGTTTGATTATTAAGTCGTTATTCTTCTATCTTAGATATTAGCTTAAAGCTATTGTAGCTATGACACATGTAAATCTGTATAATAAATATAAATCAGTTTGAATGCCAAACAACGAATGAAAAACAACGTAACTAAAACCAATGAACAACAAACCAAATGAGCGTTTAAGTAGTTTGTATGTTCAACGTTGTTGTGGCGCATCTAAATGCATAAGCAATATTCATGCTCGAGAATAGTAAATGAAGCATGTATTGAGATATTTTCAGCCAATTGAATCAGCTAAGGTTTAAGGCGTTGTTCAAAATCTTAACATTGATGTCACCAATTTGGTTGTTTAAAGCGGCTCAAAACCGTGAAAGTCCCTACTTCTTGACATTTCCAATGATTTTGTTGGATTAAATTAGTATTTTAGCCCAAAATAAACTATCAGGGAATATTCTAAAATAATAGAATCGAAATTTTTCGTAAAAAAAACTTGTGGGTTTCAAAACATAAAAACCTAAAAAATAGTCTTGATCTATACCTGAAACAGGTTTGAGCAGCAAAAAGCTCTGTTGCAACTAGATAAAGATATGCCTCATGGGGACCGCTGGCCGAATCATTTAATCAATTTCGACGTCAAAGTCAATGACGTTATGCAAATTTTGAAAGGTTATTTCAATGCATATGGATTTAGATGTCAATTTTTTCGCTATGAATTTCGCTTGTGTGTTTTGCTTGTGGTGTCGCAGTGTAGAAACAAATTTTTCCTCAATGCAAACACACGGCCAGCTATCGATATTTATTAACATTATTAATGTAAATTTACATTTCATATGCTTTATGTTGCAATGCGATATGTCATATTTTCAATACACTGCAGTGTAACATGTTCAATGCATCCATTTGATTCAAAACAGCTGATTGGAAAGGGAGTTAGGTTTGCTGTGTGATTTACAATGCCACCATCCGGATTTCCTGCTAAAAAGAATGAAAAGAGCACAATTATTCCACCCGGTTTTGAAAATATAACCAGTAATACAACACCTAGCACATACATGTCATCTCCGAGTGCCTTGCAACAAAATCAATTGAGTAAGCCAACTATTTTGGTTATCAATTGAAGATGAATTCCCAAATAAAAGTTTGCTGTTTTTGTTGTTATTTTTGATGTAGATTTTAATTAGCCATTTCATGTTCTGTTTACTTTTACAATCAATAATAAGCCAATTTGTCCCAAAACAGCCAGTTATTTTTTTGCATACGGGCGCTTACCCATACGTCCTCAAGGGAAAAATTTAAGGGGTGGGTAATTGAAAAAAATCGAGGGGGTAAGCAAAAAAGTGAAGTGTATTTTGCGAAAAGTGTACTTTTTTCGTTTTTTTTTTGCTCCTCACTTTTTCGGCGAAAATCCCTAGCAAATTTAAAGAATTTTTCTTATATTGAAAACAAAACTGAGGAGCAAAAAAAAAAAAAGGTCCTCACTTTTTTGGCGAAATTCCCTAGCAAATTGAAAGAATTCTTTGAAAATTTTGAAGGGGTAACACTTCGTCAGGGGGGGGGGGGGGTAATCGGACCCCTGCTGAGGACGTATGCGCTTACCACATACTATCAAAAGTCTATCACATTTACTGTATATTATACATTTCAAAAATTAGTCTTTTTTGACAACTCTCAAATTTCTATGTAAATTTGTGTGCACATTGAAAATACAGATGTATAATCATTGTGTGCGTCGCACTATCAGTGTGACAAATCCAGCTCTGCTGTTTATGTTTGTTAACAATCATAATTCAGACGAAAACATTTTATCAACAATAACAAATTTAGCATCGTTTCTGTCGAAAATCTTGATGAATCGTGTTATGTAGTCATCATAGCAACCTCTTTATCTCTCGTCTATGTTTATTGCCAGTATTTTTTTATTATTCAAAGTCAATTCGTATAAATGAGATAATACCAATCCAAATCCTATATATTCACACCACACAAATGATCACAACACACATTTGGTTGATATTTCTAGTGTGAGCATTTAAAAAGATCGTCCGAAAAAATTAGTTGAATTTTTATTGAAGACAAAAGCAAATACGTCGAAAACAAGCGCAGCTAAAAAAATCAAATCAAAAGTAAGAAACTTAGTTGTGCTTAACCCTGACTTAACTTTAATATTTGAATAAAAATACTTAATAAATAAATAAATTTATTTGAAATCAAGACTTTTATCAAATGAAATTTTGTCGCTCATCTCTTAAATAATAACGTTATCACTTTTATTTGAAAAAAGCTCGCAATTTTTAGTGAATTTTGGAGTTGTATTCGAGTGAATGCACGCTGTGCATAATAATTTGAAATAAATAGCCTAACAGATTTCTCAGAATTTTTTCATAAATATATAATTTTTTGACGAAAAAAATCCAATACTTTCCAAATATTAAAGTTACATTTTAAAAATCCTTGGGATCTGTTCCGCGACACTTTGTATTTAACTTGTTTCATAAGAAGTTATGAATCGATCGTGTTAGGCTATCACACAATATATCAATATTGTGACACTTTGGCTAAATTTTATTCATTTAAAGTGATGGCATGTGTGTTAAATGAACATTTTTCATTTCATTGTTTCACGTAATCAGACACCAAAATAGACTGACAAACCAGACATAATGAACCAAGGACAAAACGACGATCAAAGTGGATCAAATGCCAAGCGGATGAAACCGAATGATGCTGATGAAATCGATGAAGAACAATTGGAACTACCATGTGAAGATGAAGAAATCGATGAAATTGAAGATCACGAAATAGCCGAACAACCGTTTGGAGGTGAAAAAACGCCTGAAAACCAGGAAATAGTCGAGGTTGATAAAGAAAATGATGGAAATAAGGAAAAAACTGATTGTAGTGAAAGTGATCATTCGGAAAAGTCACTTTCGTCCCGATCTCGCTCGATTTTCAGATCACGGCCGCACATTCATGCCCGAAGCGATTCGGAGCGTCGTCGAAGCGGAAGTCTTAGCAGTTCACGCAGTGGTAGTGCATCGAGTTACAGTGGTTCAGCCAGGAGTCGAAGTGGTAAGTATTTCATACATTTTAATGGCAATAAATTTCGACATTTTGTATCATTTTTCCACTAAATTATATTTCTTTTTTATAGGCAGCAGATCTCGTTCACGCAGCAAAACACCAGTGTCAAGCCGCAGTGAATCGGTTAAAAGTGGTGAGCACCAAAATTGAATATACAGTGTGACATTCTATATTTATAGACACACAAAAAAGTTCGTCTAAGTAGATTAAGATTATTTCAATAGATGGCGCTATGTTCCGACGAACACTGTGTTGTAAGTCATTTGTAAATTTACACTGAATTTTCGTAGTAAATTTACAAAATGTGTCAAAATGAAAGTCACAATATCATTTTGTAAAAATACTACGAAAAGTCAGGGTAAATTTACAAATGATGAATATTTCAGTTTAAATACAACTTTTTCACAATTTTTTGGTAGCATAATTCCAAATAATAATAATAATAATAATAAAATAACTGAAAAAAACATCGAAAAAAAACAAATAATGTTATTTTTTGACTTCATGCATAGCGACTTTCACTATCGAAATTTACAATTCTCATATTTCGATAGATGGCGTAATACGTATGTTTATAAACTTTTTTGTGATGTCAAACTTGATGACTTCATTTGATAAATAATTATATTTTTACATTAATAATTGCAAAATTTACGATGAAAAAATGGTTTAAAAATAAATAAATTTTTTTTAGAAAATTTAGGGGCATTAATTTTATTTTAATTTATTAAATTTATTAAATTTATATATTATAGTTATATCATTCAAGGTTGTAGGAAAAATTGGTCCAATGGAACAACTAACTGTAGGTGAATTAAAAAAAAAAGATCCCGCGAAATCAGACAAAATGAATTTTCTATGCTATGGTTATACGGAGATTCATAGTAGATTTACAAAAACTTCCAATTTTCATAATTTGTAAAATTACTATGAAATTTTGTAGTAGATTTACAAAAACCTCTATTGAATATATGTTTGTACAATTACGTCAAAAATTCATAGTAAATTTACAAAATCGTCCAATTTACATCATTTGTAAATTTACTACAAATTTTTTGTCGAGCGCGCCATCTTTTGAGATTTTTTTTCAAAAATAAACTTTTTTCGTGTGTCTACAAATATAGAATGTCACAGTGTACATTTACAATTCAATTTTTTTTTCCTGAAATTTGTGTATTATTTAGGTTCTCGTTCCCGCTGCGAAAGCCCTGCATCCAACAGAAGCGGATCAGTCAGAAGTAGAAGTCGTAAGTATTTTACAGAAAATAGAGAAAAAAGACCGAAATGTGTCCATCGAATCACAATTTGGTATTTCGAGCTCCAAATCGATGTAAATTAGATATTTGATTTTTTTTCTATAGCTTCAAGTTCTTATTCATCACGTTCGAGATCACGTACACACAGCGGTAGCTCTCACCATCTCTCACCTCTAACCATTTCTCACCACTCTGATGACACCGATGAAGATGAGTCAGATGACACCGATAAAGATGGGTATGATGACAATACAAAGAACCAAGAACAAATCGCTGAAAGTGGACCAGAGAATAATCCAGCTAAGCGTGATATTGTTGCTGTAAATGAAGAACAGCAATTGGCTGATATTTTCAAACTTAATATCGATTGTTTTGAACTAGTGTTCGACTATCTATCGCTAAAGAGCTTGACAGCTGTGAGCCAAACATGTAAACGAATGCAAACAATAGCCGGTTATTGTTTTCAACTAAACTATCGATCCGCAAACGTGGAATTTTATGACGATGGTTTTTACCACGACGGTAAAAGGATAGATTGTTTTAAAATTTTCTTTCAAAACGTTCAATTGAGTTATATGTGTTCACAAATTGATGAATATGCTGCTTTCTTTGTTGAAAATGGAAGAATCAAGACTTTTTCACATAATATGATGATGAATTTTGTAACTCTAATGAAAGATTCAACATCAATAAAACGAATCGAAATTGGTTGTTGTCATGGTTGTGTTCGTTTAAGAAAGGCTCGGATTAAAGAAATGTTAGGAATTTTAAGTAGAGCTGAAAGAGTAACGATAAATACTTATGAAAATGAAAATGTATTGGACCGGATGTTTGGTGCTTGCTCAAATGCCAAATTTATTTTGGTGAAAATTATAAAAAACGAAAGCCAATGGATGCATCGAATCTATCCAACATTGGAACATTTTGCAGTGACGGGGAGTGATTGGCATTGGGTGGAAGAATCACCAGGATTAAAAACATTTCTTGAACTAAATACCAACATTAAACAATTTTCTGTTAATGCGTATTTCTTTTGGTTAAATGGAGAGTTGTTCAAAAGTTCAAACATCAAACTTGATACATTGGCGATTGAATATGACAAGCGTGGAGCTCAAATCGATTCATTTTGCCGCTTACTAAATGAGCTCCATGAGTCTGGATTTTATAAGAAACTGCATGTTCACACCGATTGCTTTGGTCAAGAAGTTATCGATCAATTGGCTTCAGTAAAAGGTTTGGTAAGCTTTTGTGACGTATCCAATACAAATTTCACAATCAAAATTGGTGCTTTGAGAAACTTGGAAGAACTATACATGTTTAACAGTTATTGTATTACTGATTTGAAGATACTTCCTCATATCCTTTTGAAACTTAAATGCATTCATATTTTGTGGGCCAATTCTGATGACATTTTACCATTTATCTGTCACTCAAAGAATTTGAATAAAATTAGAGTGTACAATCTTTCCAGTGGATCGCATTGCAATGCATACAAGATACTTGATTTATTTGCATTGAATAAAGAACGCGAAAAACTAGTTGGAGCTCACAAGATCACGATCTACATAAGAGAAGATATGTATTTGTCTACAAAATGGGCAATGAAACAGACGGACTTCAGTTTAATCGAAATAAAACGAATCTCATCATACGATTGGTCATATGAATTTAGCTGGAATTTCGACTAGATATGAATAACTTTTTCTTTCTTTTTTTCTCAGTTTAATTTTATCGAATCTTTTTTTATTACATCGAAAATATGAACTTTAAAATGTGACTTTTTGTATCAAAGCATTTTGATAAAATCGGGAAATCAATTGAATTAAATTAACACATAAAAGAGATAATTTTTTGTCAAACTTGCTGAGGTATCTATTTATATTACTGTTGACTAAAATCTAAATTCACATTTATAATAATTGATAAAACATGAGTCAAATGTGAAACATTTATCAATTTTATCGTAATTAAATAAACAATCAATTTGTAATTGAAATAACTTCATTGTAAAACCGCTTTTAATTTTTCCGTTTCAAATCCAAGCCCGTTGTCCGTTTCATCAACCAAATAAGTTGAGAATTTGGTATTAATCTCATCCGGTGTGTATTCGTCAATCTCAATGATTTTATCAATCGAAATTAATGGTATCATCATCTCATTCAGACGCTTCCTATTTGAACAAAAACAAATAAGAAATTGTCATATTGTTGAATATAATGATATGGTAATAGTTACTATTACACCGCCGTAACTTATTATATTAATTTCAATAAAAGTCATTCACTATTCGATCTTAACCGAATGTGTTCCCATCTGAGTACCGTTCACACTGGCGCTTGCGACACAAAAGACATCCATAAAGTGTAATAAAGCTAAAAAAAAATAGAAATTCAGTAATATCCAAAATAACTTATTGCTGAATAAAATAAAAGAAAAAACACACAACGTAAAGTGAAAGAAAAAAGGGGAAAATAAATACATATCAAATGATTCGCAAGAAAGCGAACACATATTCAAGACAAAGGTAACATACTAACTGAACAAACAGCGGACTACAGCAAGACGGAGAAATCGGGAATATTTTTGAGTTTGCAATTAAAAGAAAAAAGAGACATGAACAAATCAAATATTGCAAAGCTGTAATTATTATAAAACATAAGTGAATTGGTGGCAAAAATCAGTTGAAAATATTTTAGAAAAGAAATTAGGTGGAATGATGGGAAAATAACTGTGAAAAAGAGCATTCAACTGTTGAATTTCAACACAACAGGAACAATTGTACAGACGAGAAATCCATAGATACAAACAAGTGGAAAAACATGTGCGTGTGATATTTGCGAAAAAGCAAACAAAAACACATAAATTCCAATACAAATAACATCAATGGGTGATTCTCTTTTCGATCATTGCTTTGTTGATTTTGTGGAATCAATGCCTACAGAGAGCTAAGAGGGCCGTGAATACATTCTAATAGCAACATCAGATTTAACACATTTATTGGTGACAGAAACAACAGCAGAATGCTTATTAGATCACGTAATTCGTACACAGCACGACAAATTATGCCCCGCACGTGCCAATGGCCTTGCTAAAAAATACCAAACAAATTCCAGAATAAAAAAAAAGAAAGAAATGGAAATACTACAAACATACGACGAATCAAAAGAGGTGGCAAATCACATTCAAAGAGCACTTAACAAAAAAAAACATAAATAAAGAATATCACGATATACCACGGCTGATACAGAGTAAAAAGAGCAAACGATATAGCATAGTGGCATATTCAGTGAATTCACAAAGTAAAATAATCTGAAAAAAATGAACAAAGATTTAGTGAAGAAAACAATATACAAATACAGCAGAGAACCACCATAGAAGGTTCCAATAATCCATTTAAATGGAAACGATTTGTTCTCACAGAAAAAATTAATATTGAACACAGTAAGCGATTTCATAGCGATCGTGTGGAATGCATAATTTATACACAAAACAACAAAGAGTGCATGAGCGATAACATCTAAACACAAATTGATACAATTAAATGAACAAGAGAAAAAACTATAAATTGTAAAGCAGCTCCATTAAAAAAATGAATTTGATTATTGAGTATTACATAAATGCAAATTTACACACACAAATCAGTAGTGTGCGATAGGGGTAGGGAGGGGAGGCTTTATTTCCCTGAGATTCTTAATAAAGAAAAATCTTTGAAATGCAAGAGGGCTTTTTGAGCCGTTTCCGAGTGGAAATTATTAGAACGGAGTTTTGCGGAAAAAAGTTCTTATTTGCTATAGCAACCCTATAAAAAAAGTGAGTATCGCTTTTTTGGTCGAAGTTTTCACTAGATATGCTCAAGATGATTCAATTTTAATAAGATATAACAAAGAGTTTGATGTAATAATTTAGCCAAACTTTTTGAAATTGTTGTGTATGACAAAATCATTTGTAAACTCCAAAATTATCCATAATCAGCATGGATTCGTGAAAAATCGATCAACCTCAACAAATTTACTCCAAATGGTAAATTTCACGATGGACTCAATGGTCAAAAAATGTCAAACAGATGTGCTGTACACCGATTTTGAGAAAGCCTTCGATCGTGTGAACCACAAGAAATTGTTGCAGAAGCTGGTAGGATTCGGATTCGGACGACAGCTTGTCAAATGGATACATGGTTATTTGACAGAACGAACGCAGTTTGTTGGAATCGGTGAAAGAAGGTCACGGACCTTCACTGTGTCATCTGGTGTACCAGCGGGAAGTATTTTGGGACCTTGTCTTTTTATTGTTTTTATTAATGACATTGTCGAAATAGTATCAAATGCACTTGTTTTATTATTCGCAGATGATCTGAAATTGATCCGAACCATACAATCGCCTATAGATGCCTTATTATTTCAAAATGCCATTAATCAATTGAGCGAATGGTGTACTGAAAATAGCCTGCATTTGAACTTGAAGAAATGTTTCGTTATGACATACTCAAAAAGCGGAAACATAGTCAACTATGATTATACGATCAACAACGGCCAACATACATTTGAACGGATCAACATACACAAGGATCTGGGAGTTGTATTTGACACGAAGCTGACATTTGTCAATCACATCGACGCGATTACAGCCAGTGCACATGGGGCAATGGGTTTTATTAAACGCACATTAAAGAATAAGTTTACGATTGAATCTGCAAAAATGTTATACTGTGCACTAATAAGATCAAAGTTAGAGTACGCGAGTATTGTATGGCAACCATATCACCGTATCCATTCCAATAGAATAGAATCAATTCAGAAAGATTTTGTGATATGGACATTGAGATTTATTTACCAAAGAGACGAGAATTTTGTGCTACCACCGTATCAATTTAGATGCGATGTTTTAAATATTCAACCGCTTTGGAGACGGCGTATAAATGCCTCTATATTTTTAATTTATGACCTCCTTTTGGGTAAAATAGTGTCTAGTTCACTAAGAAATAAAATTGTATATACAAGACTGCAATATAACGAAAACCAGAGAAATTTAAGAAATACAGAACTGATTAGGGTCAGAGCGTTTCCTTCAGACTATGCACATAATCAACCATTTTACGTGGCTTGTAGAAATTTTAACTTAGTAAGAGAACAATTTTTGGCATCAGCATCAATACAAATTTTTAGAAATAGTATTGTCAAATTGGAAAATGTGATTTTTATTGATAGGTGAAAAATGTAACTTTTATGTAGTAATAAACAGTAATTAACAGTGAACACAATCGATATCTGCTACTCCGAAGTCGAAAAGGCTGGTAGCTGGGTATCGATCGGGTAGTGTTTCATTGTAAACGATATTGTACAAATTTTGAGATAAATTCAGTCTGTGATCAGACGGTGAATAAATAAAAAAAAAAAAAAAATAATAAATAAAATATCAATATCGATTGAAACGAAAACAATAACGACGAACAAGAGGCTACATTAATAACAGCACGTATAGTCACAGCAATCAATTTAATAAGCACTTTAATATATATAAAAAATTGACGAACGAGGCGCCATATTAATAACAGACTACATGGTCATACTAATAATTATTCAATATTCATGTTAATATGCATAATACAAGCGCCGATACATAATTAAAAATGGCAAAAAACTTAATAAAACATATTATTAAAGCAGAATATATGCATAACAAAAAATAGTGAATAATCATTCTTCTTTTTTGCCCAGAGGAGTGTATACGAATCGGCTTATTTACATTGCATCTGTGGCGATGCACATACGGGCATCAGTTATTTATTTATTTATTCACCGTCTGATTTATTTATTCACAGACTGAATTATCATAATTTTTCTACAATATAATTCACAATTTTCGACTTCGGAGAAGCAGACATCTATTGTATTCATTATACAAATTCTGTTGTCTCAATGCATCTCGTGTCATAGACTTAGTCACACACCGCCGTAACTTATTTTAATAATTTCAATAAAGGTGATTCACTACTCGATCGTTGCCATTGCCATTGATAATATAGATTTGGACAGAAGCACTTTTTATTCTAGATAGAAGCACTCTAGACTTCAAATGCTGATATGGAATGAACACGACCGCCTTTAATGATGTGCCGATATGCTTTATTTTATTTTATTTATTTTTGTTATTTATTAAGTTGCAACTTATTTATCATTTAATTGGTTTGACCTGAATTTATCTGAGCGCACAGATACATAAGGACAATTTCTAAATTGAATCAACTGCCTCCAATAAGGCGCTCACTGATTACGCTAAATTCATTTAAAATTTGGTGGGGCTAAACAAAACATAAATGACCGACCAGTCGAGCGTGTCAATGAAATATGATGCAGTATTTTGTGCCATTTCAGTGTGCCATCTGAATAAAAACGAGCCTTCAAATGCAATTATTTGCATTATAAATACCATGATACTGCATGCAGTCTCATCAGCATTGAATTTGGTATAAAAGTAGGTCTGATGTGAATCTTTAGTCAGTCTAGTCGGTATAGACCGAAGAGGAACAAAAACATTTAATAAATCAGAACATTGAGACATATATTTGTTGTTTTGTTTTACTTGGGCTGTTATATGTGTTTTTGTGTGCTCTGTATAAGTACAAAACAGTTCTCTCTTTTTTGCATTTTGTACAATTTTGTTTTAGAAGTAAAAAGACGTGAAAATGCGTGAGTTAAATGATTAAATTGTCTAATTATTAAAAATAGTACACGTACGAATAGATTTATGGTGCCTTTTTGGGATATTTACTGTGAAAATTACCAATACCCACTTTTGCAAAAATGTGCCCTTGTTGGCGGTAATTAACAAAAATGAGATTTCTTTTGAATAAAATACAGAAAAAAGCATTTTCTTCAAAATGTTGATTTTTTTTTAAACAAAATTTTTCTCGCCTTTTTAACGAAACGATTTGCTGTTGTTATTGATTGCAGCAGATGAAATTCAAATTGACATTTACATTGCTTTGTGTGTCGTCTCATTTCTTTAAACAGGTTTGTGGTTTTACATTTTATTGGCATCAGTCCTTGTCTTAACCTTTGAAATGTGTGCCGAAAGCTACCACGCTCCAGAATGTAATCATTCAACATATGCAGGAATTATGCAGCGCATCACATATGTTATGTATCACACCTTAGAAACTGCAAGGGACAGCTATAGAAGAACGAAACAATATATTGATCATTACAAAGTACATTTTGATCAAAGACAAACGGTTGTGGAGAATAAATTATATGAAATAAGTGCCAAACTGGTGGACATTCACACAGCCGTAAGTATTTATTGAAAATTTAAACATTATATTCTTCTGAAATATCTCTTTTTTTTTCTCATCAGGTTCTAGCAATTACTACTGGGCCGACAAATAAAATATCGCCGACAAATGTTGGAAACGAAATTACAGATAGGTTTGGCAACGTGCCAACTAACATGAATTAAAATATACTTTTTAGATTCCACTTGTTGTACATCAATCAATTTCTGAAATGCTAAGCATCATTCGATTTTTTAGGGTTTTTTGTCGGGAGAATTCCTTTCGATTTTCTACGGTTTTTTGAACCACATTTTCCCTCTTACTAGAATGGATTTTTCAAAATTCTTTCAATTTGCTAGGGATTTTTTGACGAACAAGTGAGGAACCTTTTTTAGTTCATCATTTTTTTTTTTTTTTTTTTGAGAAACCGAGGGTAATTTCCGCAGAAATTTGATGACGATTTTGCAAACAATTGAATATAACCTCATACAACGAATTTTGTGGAATTGTGGTCGAACAAAATCGGATAAAATTTATGAAATTCAAAACGAGATTAAAGAATGTATGCGTGCAATTAATAACCGTGTCGCACCATGATCCATTCCTTAACGTAACAGCAAAGAAAATTAGTTTAAAAGTTTTTTTAAGTTTTTAAAGTTTAGTTGATTGCATTTTACGGGTAATAAAAATTCTATAAAAAATGTCACGTGAGTAATTTAATTTATTATGAGAGATAGATAGAGAGAGAGAGAGAGAGAGAGAGAGAGAGAAATAGTTGTTTCGGGGCGTGGTCAAAACCGGTTTGGACAAAACCCGCTTTTTCATACTACTATTATTAAAATCATTTTTATTCTTTTTTTATTTCAGATTGACTGTAGATGACTAAAATGGGCGTTATCCAATACAGTTGGGACTAATAACATCAGACTAGTAAGATAGTTATTACTTATTACTAATAATTTCTAATAACTGGTAATAAGATGTCATCTTATTAGTGTAATAAGTATAGTAATAAGTATAGTTATTAGAATGTTACTAGTCAGAAGACTAATAAGATGCATGTATCTTATTAGTATAGTTTCTCATCAGTATATTTCGATTGGTGTTACTAGAAGCAAATACTACTGAAACACGAAAAACAGCAGTAAGGCAGTCAAAATCACAAAAAAACTTCCGGTCGATTTTTCTCGAATTTCCAATGGGAAATCGGCAAAAATAAACTACTTTTTGGCCTAAAATCAAAATCCGGTGGAATTTGGCTGATTAGTGGACTTTCAGGATTTGGCCTGGTTTCTAGAACTTCCAAAATGTAATTCCATATACATATATTATTCGAGTAATTTTATACAGGAATCTGGGCTCTCGTGCCAGGATTTTAAAAAAATACGAAGAAAACGAAATAAAAAATAAAAAAATATAAAATTACAAATATCTATTGTAAAGATGTCTTCTATTTGTCTGACAATATTTTGCAATTGAAGACATTTTTCGATCGCGCGCGGATGTGCATTCATTTTTTTACAGACGAATATTTCGGAATATTTATATTTGTAATTTTGTATATTATGTGGAACTTATAAGTTTACATCATAGGGCCTCATTGGTCGTTGTTAGATTATGGGTTTGTGACTTAAAACCGCTACAATATTAGAAACCTTCCTTACTCAAATGCTCATAAAACCAAAATTAAGTTTGCGACAAAAAAAGTTGGCTGTTATCCTTTGGTTTCAATTAATTCAAAATAAGTTTACCTAATACTTTTTGTAATGTAAGGAACTTTGTTGAACTTTGATTATTCACCGAGCTTGAATCGATTTCAAAAAATGAAAACTCAGACTGATGAAGAAAATGTTCTTTCTCATTTTATACAACAATGAGTTAAATTCCGTTTAACGATGAAAATTGCTTCAACCTTTGAATATCTTCCATTAAGCAGCGGGTTTGTTTCTTGGCTAGATCGCTTACACATTTATACAAACCGTTTCCATTGAAGCGGTGTTGACATTCGAAATGTCAAAGCACATTCGATTTCGAGGTAGCGTATTGAACAGACCAAATAAAGAATAGCAACAATGACTTCGTTAACTAGACGATTTTTTTTAAATAGCTATAGTGGTAATCTTTACAAAATTCAGCCACATATAAAATGCATTCGGCAGATGCATTTTGCAAAAAATCAACATTTTTCAATAGTTACATCACGGTTACTGGCACTTAACTCATCTCAAAATGCATGCATCGCATCAAGTCCATTTATTTTCAATCAGGTGCGTTTCAAATCCAACAAAAGGAATAGAAGAAAGAAAGACAGCGATGATGAAGCCAGCGACGATGAGGCCATCGAAAATCAAGATAAAGGCCTGAGCGATTTCAAGGAAGGGGACGGTTCGGATCGGATTCTTGCTCGTGTGAAAACGCAAACGTTACGATTAGATTCAGTAATCAAAGCCGCTCTTGGAACACCCAAAAAGTGAGAAAAAATAACATTTTTGCACTTCATTTACTAAAGAAATTCAACTTTTTTTTTCAACAGCCAAATTGAAAAGCTATTTTACAGCAGCGCTATCAGACTAAATGGTGAAAAAGTCACGAAAAAAAGCATGGATGTATGTATCAATTTATTTACATTTTACAATATTCATTTGTCATTTTAAATGTGTTATGTTATTTTTAATTTAGATTTTTGGCGAATGTGAAATCGATATAGTCAAAGGACCAAGTCCCGAAAATGACAAGTTTTTACTGGTTAATCGCATCGAAATTCTTCAAGTGACATCAGAAGGTTCATTTTTTGTCATAACAATTCGACGTCAGAAGAACCTAACAATAGAAAATTATGAAATTTCACCTTATTAGAGATTAAAGAAAAAAAACATAAACACTATTATATAGATTTATTCGAGATATGAAAATAAAATAAATGCATGTACGCATTTTGTATCATTTGAATATAGTGTAATAAATACAGAAAACAACATAAAAATTATTATTTCATTTATCGAAAACTTATTTATCGACACTGGAGTATAACATTTTGTCACAGATAATTTTGAATTTTATTTATTACCAATAATATTTTGATAAATTATTTTTGTTGTTTTATACATTTTTTAATTAACATTAATTATTTAAAAAAAAATAAAAAATGGCAAATTATTATTTTCGAAATTTCTATAAGTCTGTACTACCGACATTCAACCCATTTTTGCTATTCCATAGAGTTACGAACTCAACTACTGAATTGAAATTTCCACTGAAATTTTTTTAATGCTATTCTACATACATGTCAACTTAATGTTTGACAACAAAATGATAGCCCTGATTTGGCACACACACACGACTTGAGAACTTTGTCACTAAAAAATCTTGATTCTTCTTATTTGAATGTATTCCAAGAAATTGTCGTAAATTAAGAAGAGTACAAATCTTTTCAGAGCGTCGTTTGACTTTGTTTTAAGCCATGATTTACCCGGCTTATGAAGAAATTTTGGAGAAAACAAAAAATCTTTCACTCAAACAATTAAAATTAATAAACAAACACATTTTCTCTACCTTCTCTTTAATACAACTATTTTTTTTTTTTCATTTATTTGGTTTTTTTCAAAAATATTTTTTTAAATTGAATTAAATTCAGTTCGGTTAATAAAACATGAACATTCAAATATTCATTATTTTCGCTACAAATTTCGGTTTTTACCACAGCCGTATTTTTATACAGCCACGACATTTCCTGACTACCTTGAGGGACTTTAATAATCATTTTTCTTCTATTTGTTATTTTTAGAATATTTTTCTCAATATCTTGCATTAATTCCTTCATGCCACTATTTTTGGCACATGATACAAGGTGTATGGGTTCCGATACACCGTCCAACGACTCTATTCTTTTACTCAGGTCATCAATTAAATCACATTTATTTCCGACATTTATGACATTGTCCAAAAGTTCACTTTTCTTACATTCCGATGTGTACACAAGTTTTTCAAGGGTTTTTTTAACATGTTGTTTTTGATCTTCCACATTCAAATGAGCCATATCTTGTACATGAATAATCAAATCCTGTTAACGAAAAATAGATAAAATAGTTGTGGTTTTTAAACAAATAGAAAACAATTTATACCGCCATCATAGCATCTTCCAGTGTTGTTATAAAACACTCAATCAAATCGGTTGGTATGTCGGACATAAAACCAATCGTATCAATAAAAATCACTTGCAAGTTACATGGTAGACGGCCTGGATGTGCGGTTACATCAAGCGTGGCAAAGAGTTTATTTTTTGGTTCTAATTTTTCTCCATTTGTCAGAGCTTTGATTAGTGACGTTTTTCCCGCATTTGTGTATCCTTTCATTCAAAAAATATGTTAAAGTGACATGAAAATATTTTGTCAATGGGCGCACGACAAAACTCACCAACGACCGCGATGACAGGAATTTCCTTATTCGATCGTCTTGTGCGTGCCATTTTTCGATGTACTCTTATGTGTTCAAGTTCAGTTTTGATGCGCCGTTCTCGATTACGAAGTATTTGCTTTTGTGAATCTGTCAATTGTGAACGAAGTAATGCGCTATTTTCTGTACCCATGTGATGCCAAATGTACTGCCAAATAAGTAAATGTAAGTAATAAAGTTAAATTATAGCTATTTAGCTTAACTCACAGGAAGTTCGGCCAATGCAATTTGTAGCTTTGCTTCTCGACTAGTAGCATGGGCTTTCAGGATTTGAATAACAATGGAGAATCTGTCCATAACGGGAACTCCGAATACTGTTTCCAAAAAGTTTTTTTGAATTTGATTCAATCGGCTAACACTCACAAAAACGACGCTTATCTGGTGGAAAAAAATAGTTTTTTTTTTTTTTTAATATATGGTGTACACATCATCATTAACTCGTTACATACCTTGCGTCTAATATCTACATTGTACATTTTGATTTGACGTTTCAACTCATTTATTTTCCCGGTACCAAAAAATGTTTGTTTTTCATAACCAAGTAAGGGCACTTTGATAGATTCTTGGATGGTCCAATTATCAAGCGAATTTATTAAATCTTCAGATTCTTGATGTTTAATGTCTGGCGAAATATTTGATTTTTTTGGACCCCATTTTATATACGGTTGAATGACAAAAACATTTTCTTCACTTTGAATGTTTCTACGTGATCCAAATGCTTCGTTTACAATTGCTTCGTATTCACTAAGTTGTAAAAAAAGTCATTTAAAAATGTGTACATCGATTTAACAAAATTGATCCATACACACCTATCTTTCAACGATATTTTGTCTTCTGGATTTGTGTTGTCGTCCTCCTCAAATTCATTTTCATCGTCATCATCGTACTTCCTTGGCGCAGCCTTGGAACTTCGGCGACCTTGAATACCAGATTTCACATACTTGGTGCGAACGTGTAAAAGCAGTCCATGATTTACAGCTGACGGAAACTTATTCGGTCTTACATTTAGTTCGAGTTGTACTATTTGTCGCAGACAAGTTTTTGTTAAAAAACACGTTCTCAGGTATCGAAACATATTCAATATTTTTCGAGTTTACTTTTCGTCGGTTTTAAGAGCAGAAAATTTCTCGTAATAGTCCTTCGTGACAAAATATGTAGCTGTGCCAGCCAAAGTCAATGACACAAACAACGAACCAGCTACCGGATATTTGATTCGATTTTTAATCGGTTTCTGCAGAAAATGTGTCGTTGAGAAAACTAAAACGATGGTCAAATCCAATTATAAATCAAACAATCTTTTGAAAACACACATAAATACATACCAAACCAAAATGATGCGAGGCCGGTCAAGACAGTTCGGCCAGTACATTCAACCACCGGATGAAAAATTAAACTTTTCGAACTTTTGTTTTGGTTTTTATTCAACTCAGTCATTATTTTAAACTTGAGAGAATTTAAAAGGTTACGGTAATGACAATACTTGAAGAGTTGTTTGGTTATGCACGAAAATGACAGAATGTCTTATCACAGTTCGTAGTTATACTTATAATTTAAGTGGAGCAATACATATCCGAATAACTGGCCGCCTCCACCCATTGTGTCGGGTAAATTAAGTGAGAAAAAGTTTGAACCAAAAGCCATGCATAGCTCAGAATCAAATATAAAGTTTTCAATTCAAACTATTTAGCTGGTTGACATCAGTACATTGTCTGTTCAACGGATTAAATGTACTGTTTATCATTGTAGAATATCATGGGATGTACGCATTATTTGCGGTCACCGATTGTCGCAGCTTGATGCCAGTCGATTTATTCCACACGGACGCGTCGTTTAAATGTGTCGAAATCGCATTTATTTCAATTCCGAATGAATCGATTCGATGAAACCATTTTCGATTTTATTTTATAGTCATGAAATGATTACTTTTTTTTTAATGGCCATAGTCTAATTCAAGCGATTTGATTTCTTAGTAAAACATAACAATGTTTTTTGGACGCAATACAAACATTTACAAAACTCAACATATTTTGGTCGATAAAATAAATTTAAAAAAAAATAAAAAAATGTAAAAAATTTGAAGAAAAAAAAATTGTACAGTAATATTTAAATAATCAAAATTGAACAATGTACTAAAGTACTAAATTCGTCGAAAGAAATGTCAAATTGCGTAAATAAATAAACGTCAAATTCTCGTCTCAATGTGGCAACGGTGTTTTTATTTATTTTGTTTTTGAAAAATCCATTCTAAATGTTGAATATTATAGCGTTGAATAAGATATGGCAACTGTCGAGGAAGATGTAATTATCGAAATATCACCCACTGAATTTAAAGCCATTGTTTATATTTTTAAGTATAATTCATTTAATGTTTTATCTATTCATGTGGTAACTTATTCTTTTTTCGCTTTGAACAGATCCACTTTGAAAGTGTTATCAACCGCTAAGGAACTTGTTAAGAAAGGTATTCAGGAGGGCATAAAATTACTATTCCATTACTCTACAATTCCTGATCCATTCCTTCGATTCATTTTCCATTCTGTTCCATTACTTATTGATTGATTTCCATTTTTCCATTCTTTTCTTCTGATCAACTCTAGGTATTCAGGCGGAGACACAAACCACAATAAAATGTTCGAAAATCAAATCGAATGGAGTGAATAAAAGATTAATTGAAATAACAGGAGCAACACATCAAAATGTTTACACGGCACGAAAACAAATTAAAGCAATTGATGATCAAAAGGGAGATAATAAACAAAAACGATCACAGCCAACACATTTTACTTGTGTTAAAATTACCAATCCAACTATTCAAGAGAACTATGCGATATTTAAAGTATTGACTTTCAGCATTGAATTCTAGTTATTATTTAACTATTGTGTAACGCATATTTCACAGGATAGTATATTGAGCAATGAGAATATAAAGAATTTCCCAGAAGCGGCTTTCATGAAACAAAAAAAACTCCATATAACATTCGGGGTGATGCTTTTGACGGATGCGGATAATCACAACCGGGCCAAACAGATCCTTAATGATTGTCACGAAAATATTGTGAAGTAAACCAATAAATGCACAGAATAAGCCACGAATATTTAACTTGATATTTATCCATTTCTTGTATGTACTTAGGCCAGTCATAAGCAACTACGGTAAAATCACGATCAATGTACATGGATTAGAAATAATGAAAGGAAACCCGAATAAGGCACGAGTAGTCTATGCCAAAATTGAATCAGAAGCTCTACAAAAAGTTGCCGATGGCATTACCACAGCATTCATCGATGCAGGTTAAATAATAATATGACTTCTATATAAAAAAATATATGAACTGATTTCTTTCAAAAAAACTACAAGGTTTAGCAAAACAAGAATCTAATCGAAACGCCGTAAAATTACATATGACTGTGATAAATGTAAAATATACGAAAAATAAAACAAAGTCCATTGATGCCACACATATTTTGGAACATTATGGTGATTTCGAGTTCGGTTCTCAGGATGTAAATCACATTCATTTAGCTTCTATGCAGCATTCAGACACAGATGGTTTCTACAGATGTATAGCTAGTATTGAATTTGAATGAAAAAAATGGACTTACATAATAAATATCACTTAATTCGATGATTTTAATGAAATTCTAGTTTGTTTAATATTTTATAAATTTTTTTACAAAAAAAAAAAACGAAATAAAAACAGCAATTGAGCATGTTTCAAATGTGTAGTCATAATTTTGGTACATAATTTTTTTTCAAAATTTATTGTTTCAATTAAGTGTAGAGGAAGTGTAGGTAAGTGTACAACATTTTGTTTCGAAGTGTATCTGAATTAAAATTGAAATAAAAAAAAGGTCTTCACTTTTTTCGCCAAAATCCATAGCAAATCGAACGAATATTTTTTCTCGATTTGTAAAGGGGTAGTTCTCAAATCTCTTCTCAGGGGGGGGGGGTAGTCCAACCCCTCGGACCCCTGCTCAGAAGCTATGGGTCTTCATAATTTTGCCCGGGGTACCTATTTTCTAAATCCAAAATTTTATGTAAGGTACTATTATGGCCTTAAAAAAGTGAAAAAAGTGTACATTAAGTGTAGGTAACAATTTTGCCTTCATATACGAAATTACTATGAAATTAAGTGATTTGGCCATACCAGCCTTATCTGAAGGGCGAGGGGTGCCTATACTGAAAATTTCAAATTAAGTGTACGATGATTTTATGAAAGTGTACAGCCTTGAAATTAAGTGTAGGTTAAGTGTACATCAATATTATGTCTTTAAATGGTCACTTTCAAGTGATATGGTCATGCTCTCACCTCTCACTGGGGCCACCAAGAAAAAGCGTTCATATTAAATTTAAAATTAAAAAACAAATTAAAAAAATATCCGACGCAGCGCGTCCAAAAGGAATTGAGTTTTGATCCTAAAATAGGTCCCCTATTATTAATTGAAAAAAAAAAATATGACTCATAGAGAATCGATCCCAAAATTCTTCTGCTCATTTGAATCTGCTTTTTTCCCACACCTCTATAGCTCAGAGCTTAGAGTAATGCACTCGCACTCAGACAATCCCAGGGCTGTAATTTTCACTCTGTCAGTGCACGCACACAGTAGTGTGCACACTCACATTCTCTGTGCGTCGCACACAATACTTATATTTTGAATGTGCACGCACACTTAGTTACAAATTTGCCAAACGCCAAAATTGTCAAACTTGTGACTAAGTGTGCGTGCACATTCAAAATACAAGCATGGTATGCGACGCACAGAGAATGTGAGTGTGCACACTACTGTGTGCGTTCACTGACAGAGTGTAAATTACAACCCTGGACAATCCCGGTTCGATTTTCTCTATGGCTTGAGTTTTTTTTCTATTAAGTATAGAGACTTTGTGGTTTGAAAGTTCACTGTTCTTACCGTAATACTTCGTCGCTTGCATACCTATCAGTGATCTAACCCGTAGCTGCACATCGATGACATAGATTCAATAGATTGGAATAACTATGGGCCATATATGAGTTGGTATTGGTCAAAAAATTTGATTGGCAAGAAAGTTGGTGCTATAGAACAGAATTCAATCACATATAAAGTCTCTGAGGGGAGAAAGAGAGAATGAGCATGAGAGTGAAAGAGAAAGGTAGATAGAGAGTGTATGTACCCAATCGAACTTAAAACAGATGAGTTTTACAACATTAACAGAGAACAGCACTATTACTTTCTGCTGTCGTATGTTTTACAAAAGCAAAATCGGTTCATCAGTATTTAACACAATGTTATGAACATCTAATGGACAAACAAAATATAAAACGCCCAACATGCTACATTCTATTGGATCGTTCACATATCGTTTCTTCGGTGCACCAAAATTCAGCTAAGTTAAACAAGTGTTTTGGCCGACGAAATGGACCGAATTTTTTTTATCATCGAATAATTGGGTATGTTGGCAGGAACCCAGTACCGAAAAGGCCGAAGTAGTGATTAGAAATACTTTCGCAGTCGCATTTATTCAATATTCAGAAAATATTGAAACTGGACTTATGAGCGAAATGAAACAGCTGATTACAACGCATAAATATGAGTATCAAGCTCAAATCGATGAAATCAAAACGAAACCAAGCGAATTTTAATGAAAAATCTTCGAAATTTTATCAATTTATCGAGAATATAGCAGCTGAGGCAAAAGAACAGTTCGAACACAACAACACAGAAAACGAAGACATCGATGAATTTCCAGTTGACAGTGCATATTATGCTGAAGACATTGTACCTGAGTTAATTAAAATTTTCTCCAAATTACCAATAACTGGATGTCTACTCAATAAATCCTTCGGCATTCCAATCAAAGACATACCAACTACTGGACAACTTGAAGCTAATTTCCGTGTACACAAGCACGATTTGTTTGTGGAAAAGAAGCGAGTGCGAGTTGACAGATGGTTGGATATTCATCTCTCATATCTTCTTGGATTAACAAGAGCACGAAATGCTGGCGATGATGATGATTTAAGCGAAGAAGAAGGTGACGAACCATCTGATTTGATTATGGAGCCGCCCAGTGATGATGACGTTGATAACGAAGACGATGTTGAGTTTGTCTATGATTTTAGTAGCGAAGACGAATACACAAGTCAAATCGAAAACACGAAACTGAAAGAAGAATCGAAAAAAAACGAAGCTACAAATTTTCCAAACAATGATGAAGATTCGAGCGAAGAAAAAAAAGCTTTCTCAATTCTTATGCAAACAGATTTTTTTTCTCAATTCTTATGCAAATTGTCTATATCATCTGGTGCGACTGAATGTAAAAATTTGCTATTTCTGTCACCCGAATCGTAGTTCAATGCTATCTCGCTACATGTAATTTCTCAACGCATGGCATTCTGTTCACAAACAACATTCTATTGAAACACAACTGCGCAATAAAAATCGTCAACACAAAACTGAAATCGATGACCAAAATACATTCACTATCAATAATTTTCATTCTCTTCATATCACGGAGGGGGGGGTTTACCCCCCCCCCTGTGATTTGGATGAGAATTTTTTTTCGCGAAATTTATTCGAATTTGCTAGGGTTTTTCATTCAAAAAGTGAAGACCTTTTTTTTTTTTTAGCTCATCAATGTAGAAAATTGAGGAGAATTCTTTCAATTTGGGTTTTTGGTTCCGAGAGATTTTTTTCCGATTTGCTAGAGTTTTTCGCGGAGGAAATTCTTTCGATTTGCTAGGGATTTTCGCCTCAAAAAGTGACTTCCAAAAAAAAAAAAACGAAAATTTATCTGATTTGCTAGAGAATTTTTTGTTTTTGGAAAATCACCATTTCAAAATTTGGCCGCCAGGTGGCATTTTTAAAAAATCACTGAAAATTCCTTTTTCTCGATTTTTGACCACCGAAATTATTTTTTCGAAAAATGTTATGGCCATATTCGGAACCTGGGGACTGCGTAGATAATGTTAAAAAAAAAGAATCATCACGATCGGTTGAAAAGTGGCCGAGATATGGCCAATTCGCCAAAACCTCGAAATTGGCCGCTTGGGGTGTTTGTATGTCTGTCCGTACCTTCTTTCAAATTGTGTGCACTTATTTTTTTTCGAAAGTAGACTGAAATCTGAGCAAACTAATTTCTCAGTTTCAAAAAATTCGTTGCGTAAGTGGTTTTGGTCTGGAGTCGAACATTTTTGGGAGGCCAATTTTGAGTTTTTCATCAATCGGATATTTTTCTGGACATCTATAAGGTACAACAATGATTTATACGTCGTTGGAAAGGTAAAACTCACCTTTCCGTCGACTTACCTTTCCGGATCCGAAGTCAGAATGGAAAAATTTCTAAAATATCCGCCAAGTGGTATGTTATGTGACATTTATGGAGACCAAATATGTGATGATATGGCGTATGTGTCATATCTGGGAAAATTCGTTTTTAAAAAAAAAGTACTCCGAAGTTGACATTTTTTTTCGGCAAATTTTCAATTTTTGGCCATTTTTGATCACAGGTATACGAGGTGTTTTTTAACAGAATCACGTCATTCTTAGCTTTTTGGAAAGTCATTAAGGTCATCTTGATGAAGCAATAAAGAAATGTTGAAAAAAAATTCAGCGGAAAAGGTTATATCAGAATGAGAATGACCAGTGTTGGGTAAAGATATTAGATAAGATGATATCTTATATCTTATCTTATCTTTGACGAATATATCTCATCTTATCTAGATAACTAAGTTTTCTTTCGATATCTTGGTGGTATCTTTAAATCTTTTTAAGATATTTTGAGATTTTTACGAAAAAATTCAAAATTTTTTGGAAAATATATCTTATCTGCTTATAAAATTATTTATATGAAAAGATAATGAAATTATCTAGATTCTTTTGAATATCTAGATACTTAGAGTTATCTAGATACTTTTGAGTATCTAAAGTCCAAAATTGTTGTAATTTTCTCTGCGTAAAAATATCTTTGAAAGTATCTAAGATACACTCAAGATATTATCTTATCTTTGCGTTTTTTAAGATAAGATATGGTATCTTACCTAGATAAATTTTTTGCTAAAAAAATCTCATCTTATCTAGATACCAAACATTTTACAACACTGAGAATGACTAAACCTCAAAAAATGGGGAAAAATCGAAGTTAATCGTCATTTATCTTGAAAAATTGTATGTCTTGCTTCGATTTTTTCATCATAGATCGAAAGCGCACTCAATTTTGAGCCGATATGCAAATTTTGAAACGACAACATTCTTTTATTTGGTAAAAATTGGTAAAAGTGTGAAATATAAATGCGTTTAAAGATTTTTCAAAAAAATCTTGATATTACCTTTTTAACATCTATTTAATTTCTTAAAAAGTTGTTAGAAAGAGAATGAAAGGCTCCACATTTTTTACCGATTTTCTGAATAATTTTATATAGAAATATTATAGAAGTTATATAGAAGAACTTCTCTATAATAATTATATAGCTCTTATAAAGAAGTTTTATAGGAAATAATTTCCTCCATAAGACATAAATCTTTGCCGGGATAGTTATGGATACAATTTTTTGAAATAATTATTAAATGTTCATTATTTTACGTTAAAGATATTCTTTCAATGGTTACGATGTGGCATGTGGCCATAAATTGATTTGCCAGTTCCTATCATTAGCAGCTAAG